ATTATGATCAACATTCCCATAATTCTTGGTTTCTTATTCTCAGAGCACAGCTAAACTGTGTGTGACCTTTGGATTAGATAACTTCTAAAAATTGTGGAGTAAGATTTTTCATCTGTATCAGAACTTGGATCTGTGTTTAATGTTTTGCACTTATGATGCTTCCTTTTTCATGACTCTCAGACAAATATAATTTGGTTTGCGTGCTAGAATGATGGTGTTTTTAGATGAGCAGGAGGTTAGATAATGCTACATAGCAGGATTTTAAAATATATTCTGAAAAATACAAATTTCACTCTCCAAAATAGCATCCAGAGTTGCTCTCCGTCCTCTGTCACTCGAATATGAAGCTGGTAAGCTGTAGTCATGTTATTGATTATCTGTGGTCTTCTTAATTAATCAGAAAAAAGAAAAAAAAAAAGAAGAAGAGATGATTTTTGAGTGAGGCTTCAGTTTTCCCTTGGTGTTTAAACTACTGGTCAAAAATTTAACAAAGAATTTTACAATTGTTTCTAATAAATAAAGTAAGTGATAATAAGTGAAAAATGGCTATGAGCAACTGGATATCCTCTTTTTATTATTATTTTTAGGAAGTGTTGACTGGGTTTTCTATTACTCTTTTCTTTTTATCAAAATAAATCAGCCATCATGGACTGTTGTGGCTGAATGTTGCCTGAGTTCAAAGGAAAATGATACATGTCTAAGACCATCAGCAAATGCTGGAGGGCGTGGTTCACCTCATCTGGCTCTAGCCATGTAAAGCTGCAAGTCCAGCCTTTGGACTCCTTTCCTAGTTGTCAGAGTTAGCCCCACCAGAGGTGGGTGTTTCAGGTGAATCCTTCTCTGGGGTCACCTCTTTGTTGCTGCTTCTAGTGGAGAAATGCTGGGTATGGGCCAGGGTGAACAGTTTATCTCCAGCTGGGTCCTTTCCCCAGGAGTCATCACTGCTCTGCTGTCCTCCAGCCCTGATCATGAAGTGCTCTTACAGATCTTCCGAGATTAGAGGGGCTGGTGGGCTGTCAACCCTAACCTTCTGTGTTCCACAGGCCACTGGAGAGCACCCTGCTGCCCCCAAAGCAAGACTCAAACTTGTACTCTATATAACTTCTGGAAAGGCAGCCATTTTCTGATGTCCTCAAACCAACTGGAAACCCCCTGGTTCCTTGGAGGGCTGTCCAGGTCATTAGTCAGCCTGACTTAAACAAGTGTGCCCTAATTCCAGTTTGAGTTTTTCTGGCTTCAGCTTCGAGATACTGTTTTTTGTGATGGCTTTGCTCTCTCATTTAAAGAGTCCTTCAGAAGCTGACATCCAAATTCAACGTGCAATCAGTGAGTAGGATGCCTGGCAGGGAAATGCATGCAAGCATTTTCTTTATATTTATTTCCTTCATCACTAGTCCCACAGAAAATTACGCAGTGGCCACAGTTACCTTCCCTTGAAACCTCTCAGGTGCTCAGGCTTATCTACAAAGTAAAATGCCATCCAGGGTATTGAAGTGCTCCTATGGATCTGTCTGCAGAAGTGCTACAAGGCCCTGATACGCCTCTTTGTGTTACTTATAAACACCAAATCCAGCTCAGAAGCTAAGTAAGTCCTCTGTCTTGATTTTTTTTTAATTGCTTTAATAGTTTTATGACCATAATTAACTCAGTGTTTTATGAGGAGAATATGTCCGTAGTTATACACTCTTTACGAAGCAATGACCTGAAGAGCTGAGGTACCACATTTTGATTAGTAGTGACAGATATTGCTCCTTTAATTTGAAAACCGTGAGGTTATTCTTCTTTTTGACCCACACAAAACAAGCCTTTTGAGCATTCAAGACCTCCCTCACATCCATATTTTCTTACAGCTACTGATCCCATAAAAAAAGAGAGCAATAAATTGTCCTGAACAAAATTTCTTTGAGCTGTTTTCATTAATTCGGTAGTTCCTCACCTTTAAGGACCTGACCATGTAATGAATAAACAGCAACTAATTTCAGAATAAAGAGTTTTCTTTTGACTATGGTGGTCATCAGAAATGACCTTACTTCCTGATTGTTTTCAGTTCCCTTGTATTAAGCTGAAACTAAAACTATTAGATGGAAGCTAGATGGAGAGCTTTGAACATCAGTTCTGTGATCAGCTATTAAAGCAGTCCAATTTCAGCTGTGTTCAAACACTGCTTTCCTGTCTTGTCTGGGGAAGTGGCTGCCAATTCATTTTTCTACTCTTATCAGCAAAGCCCATATACTGTGCTCATGTTTCTTAATACAAAACACAGGGAAAATCCCCAAGCTGTCAGGAGGTCTGTTAGCTTAAATACAGCCCATGTCTTTGCTCTCATCCCATTGCTTACTTTCATTTGCTCTCAACTGAAAAAAGCTGATCTACCTACCCATGATCTTGCAAAATGCCAATCATCTGAATTTTTCAGATTTTGAGGAAAGGCTTCTTTAAAAAAAGAATTATATCATGGTTCAGCATCAGCAGCTGTAATTGATTTTAAAAGTATGTTTTCTTTAAAAAAAGCATCTTTGAAGACAGTCTATTTTCAGCTCTGTAATAATCGGAGCAACCTGATTGGGTTCAGTTCCTCTGCGTTTTGGATGACAGTGTGGTACAGTGAATTGTCCTGGTGTCCATCAGGATTTATTGCATATATTGAGACAGTCAGTGTTTGAAATTAATTCAAATCCATTATAATTTTGTTACTTTAAAAAAAACCCTACATCTCTGCATTTCTAATAGGGAAAAGTAATTATATCTTCCCAACATTTTAAAGCAGCACATTCGTACCTTGCTTAGGCACAGTCCTCCTCTCAGTATTATGTAGGTTAAACATAAATTTTATAACAAAAAGGAGGACAGAATAATAGACTGTGTTCAGTGCTTATAATTTTTGTTATATCCTACAGCCTTCCTACCCTCTAGGCATTAATGATAGAGAATGAATGGTCCCATCCCAAAGGCTGCTCACCTGCCTGCCCTTCCCCACCCGCTCTGGACAGCATCCATGGTTAACCTTTGGCGAGTCATTCACTTTCTTTTGGGAACTTTTTAATTCTGTTGAAATCAGTAATACTTTGTTGATCTGGTATGCAGCCCCTCATTCCCTCTCTTTCCTGAGACCATCTCAGTTCTTGTATGGTGTTGCAGGGCAGAAGTGTGGGTGTTTCTGTGGTTGAGACACTAAAGATGTTTAGGTCCCACTTCCCACTTGACCAGTGGCTTTGGCAAACCATAGACAAGACAGACTTCTCTCCATCTTTTGAACACACAAGACAAATCTAGCTGAGCTAGCAGGCACTTGGCCAAGCTAGCATGAGTCACAACAGCCTGCCAGGAGGTGAGACATGTTAGCTCTAGTATCTTACCAGTGCACAACTCGTTTCTGGACTCAAGTATTTGAGGCCACAGAGCAGAACTGGCCTACCTGTTCACTGCCAGCTGTGGAGCTGCAGCCTTGCTTTCTCCATGTCCTGCTCCCCATCAGTAAATAAGTGATTTCAAAAGGGAAAGGACCATATAATGCCACTGGTAGTTTTTCTACTGATGTGTTGCAGAGCCTTGAGCAAATCAGTTTCACATTTTCCATCTATACACGTTTGACAATGATGCATATCTTTCTGTGCAATGTGCTGTGAGATTTGGGAAGAAAAATGATGCAGGAGAATTAAAGTGTTTTTAGTCTAAACTCATTTGTTGTACCTAATCCCAACTAGTATTTGAGCTTCAGGGCAGCTACTGGAAATTAATATCTCTTTTGTTAAACTACTGTAAGCCCATCAACAGCAAACTAATGAAACAAAACAGGATTTCCTCCTCTCAACCTGCCCTACCGTGCTAGTGGGGGTACAACCTCCTACACAGCAACTCAATACCCAATGGTGGGATCAAAAACATCCCCTGCAAACCACCATCCTTCTCAGCTTTTTCCAGTCCATGGCTTACATACTTACACTATCACAGAAGATTAGATAGGATGCAACATAATGGCTGTTTTCCACATATCCACAAGACCATTTTCATGGAATCATAGATTCATATAATCATATGGGTTGGAAGGCAGCTCTGGGGGTCATCTAGCCCAATCTCTCGTTCAAAGCAAGGAGAATTTTGAAATTAGGTAAGGTTATTCAGGGTCTTGTCCTGTTAATTTTGACTACCTATCTTCAGGGTTTCTGCAGCGTTTCTGGGCAACCTGCTCCAGTGTTTAATCACTCTCAGTATTTTTTCCATATACCCAGATAGGATTTATTTTGTTGCACCTTGTGTTCTTTGCCTCTTTTTCACCTTTCTTATAACCTACAACCCTCTTTTTTAGGTGTCTCAGGATTAATTTGCCTAGACAGAGTTTTTTCAGAAGTCTCTTATATGATGTATACTTCCCCAGGAAATATGTATTTGTTTGTTTATTTTCATATTATTCAGAGTAAATTCTTAAGAAATTACGTAAAATGAGGCACAGATTTTTAGGACAAGCCAACAAAAGTCAGATTGCAGAGAAATTCAATGGGATCTGGCACAAATTTTGCTCAAGATCCATTCGTCTCCTTCTGCCTCCCACAAGCATTTCATTTTTGGACCAATTCTAATGATATGTGCTTCAGAAATTTCAGATTGCATTAAAATATCTTCCTTGTTCTTTAGAGCAGAAATACTATACAAGTGAGAAAAGGGATAGAGCAATACAAATATATATGGGACTGCAGAGACAAGCCAAAGGAAACATGCTTGATAATTCTCATGCAAAGGAGCAACGCTGGACATGGTTAGGGAACTGCACAATATAAGGATACCTGATGCAGGAAATAATCCAATCTGTCAAAGCTCCAGGATAAACAGTACCGCAGGATGTCACTGAGTGGAAAAAAAAGCTGGAAGTAAACAAAAAATGTGTCCAAATTAATGCTGGTCAGGGCCATTAAGGGCTGTTGGTGGCCTCATTGCCCTAGCACTGTCATCCTGAAATCTCTAACAGTTTTTTCTAATCAATGCATTTCTGCTGATGTTCATAGGTGCTGAAATTCATCCCTGAGGCTGGGCATCCCAGAAGAAAAGGCAGAACCAGGAACAACATGGCCTTAGTAGATATACAACTGGATCACCATGAGCGTTGTGATTGTATCTGCAGCTCAAGACCACCCCGATAAGTAAATAAATAAATGGAAGAAAAAAACCAAGACACATTAATCGCAGTTTACTGGACGTTTACTTTTAAGCAGGATTGCTCTGAGGACCTTTACTCATTAATCATTTGAACTTTGCTACTAGCCTGCCTTTACAATTAGCAAAAATGATCGCTGTGTTTCAGCATAGCTGTGCTGATTAGTGCCATGGCAGCTATACAGGTATATCATAGATTTGTGTGTCAGCATCCAAGAATATATGATTATGGTTATCTGTAGCTAGATTCTGAGGGTTGAGGTTTTCAAAGCTTGCTTATAGTCCTTAGGCACACAGTGCCAACTGCAATTAAACACCAGTTGTGTAGTTATTTGTGGTAGCTGACAATGAATTAGTGTTGTGTTTCTATTTCTCACTGACCAGTTCCTACACTCAAATTCTACTGCCATTTCTACCTGCTCAGCTCTCCTGACAGTCAGTGGGGTTTTGTGGGTATAAATAAAGAGAGAATTTGAGCCTGTATGAGTGTAAAATGGTTTGTCCCACTCTTGAGAGGGAACTTTCCAGCCTTCTGGCTCAACAGAGTGACATATAATGAGGAATATCTGTCACTACATGAAATAATGCACCAGTGAAGTCAAATCTCACTGTTCTTACTCAACCAAATTGTGTGCTGAGATTAGTAGATACTTTGCATAAGCCAGAACACTGGTGATGGTAGGAGAGTGCAGAAGCTGGTATTTTTGCCATGGTGACTCCTTGGGAGCCATCACCCAGGCGCTTCTGCAAGAGGGGGCTCCTGCCAGGTCCCTAGGTAAATCCCTGTGGTCTGGGGCTGATCCTGGTCTCCACTTACCTGGACTGGACTCCTGCCCCTTGCCCAGAGCTGCCCACAGTTGCCCAGGAGGAGCCCCCTCTACATGAAAAGGGAGAGACAACCCACCCCTTTCAACCTCCTCGCTGCAGTTCGAGGAGTGCTGTGTTTCCCCACACAGGTGATGAAGACAGGACACTTGTTTGTTTAAAATATTGATTTGTTTTACAGTTGTGTTACTGGAAACAAAACTGTGCTTGAGATTTAATTATCGTTATTTGGTTTGGGGTTTGTTTGTTTGTTTGTTTGTTTTAAATATGGTTTATTATAACTTTGTCATATATGCATTAATCTTAGTTATCTGAGGTTAGTTGTGTTGTTTCAGCTCTGTGTATTGCCATGGTTAAACTGTTGACAGTGAATTTCTTTTTGATTGCATTTTGCTGAGGCATATTAACTCATTAAGCAATGTCTGTCTGTCATGGAAAATGTGCATCATTTATTAACTTCCAGAATAATATTATTAAACACCACCTCATAATAAAATATGCACTTTAAAAGCTACAGCATAGCTTCCTATGCCTTTTAAAATATTATGAAAATGCTCTAGCTGAAAAAGGAAAACAAAATCCTTCCAAACTAGCTTTAAAGGTTTTGAAATGCTGCTCCAAAAGAGTAAAATACAGGAAGATTTGTCTGACAAATTGGAGTTTTGATCAAGAATGTAACAGAGGGAATGGGGCAGCACATTTAATGACTGAGGGTTTTATATTTAATAGCAGACATAGGCTGCATTGATCCATCTTGTTTCTGTCTCTCTGAAAGAGTGAAGTAGTTTGACAATAGTGCATTGTAATTAGTGGAAACTGGCATGTTCTATAATATAATATTGACAGCCTTCAAACCAGTATGTGTTAGCAGTCTACAGTTTTGTTACAAAAGTGCCCTAATGTTCTGACTTACCCTCTGTCAAGTATTTTATGAGTACTCTTTTATAATTTTAGCAAAACTTCACTGAAACATCCCTTAGAAATGTTGTTACTTTCTTTCCTGTACTTTAATCTCTGAGATTCAAATAGTGTGGGGTTTTTATTATTTATATTATGTTTTCCTCTCTGACTCCCAGATATCTATTTAAAAATGCTCCTGAATGCTGACTTGGGAAGTGATTCATCATTCTTCAAAGCAATTCACATTAAAAGCACTGTAACCAAAGATTGCTTTGTTTCGCAGTTCAGGACTGTTTAAAGAAGACTTAATTCTTTTCTGTCTCTAGCTTAATAACAAGATTGACCCAGCCCTTCCATAATTTTTAGCTAATTTTGGAAGAAATTTGAATGCAAGACCTTGGCAGTACTGATTGGTTTTGAGACGGTGCACTACCATGTATATTCCTGACTGAATTGTGCCCAGATTATGCCTAGAGCACTCTAGCCTTGTAGTTCACATTGGTTGTAGGAAACATCAGTTTCATACGATGTTGTGCTTTGAGTGGTCCTTGAATTACCACCCCCCAGGGGAAAATGTGCACCAGGCATCCACTGGCATTGCCCACATACCTCTGCCTGCTCACCCCATCTCCACCTGAACAGCCATGTGTTGGTAGAGTATTTACACCTCCTAATTTGAGGGATCCAGCCTTGTCTGGGAGCCTGAGTTACTGCTACCAGCAATTGGGAGAGAGAGGCTTTTCCCAAGGGTACCTTATTTCCCAGGCTGAAGTGACCCAATGTGGGATCTTTTCTTTCTCTCTTTTGACTATGTAGAAAAGTTAGAAATCTGATCTGGGCATCTAAGTGAGATACACAAAGGTAGATGTTATGAATAATTGTTTTAAAGACTGAACAGCTAGTAATTTAGCTAACTGAATTAGATACACGCTGCACTGGATGCCAGGGTCCAGCAGAAAAACTGAGCTGTAAAGGGAAGAGATTGGTATAATAAGGATTAACCTCTTGCTTAATGTTGGGTTTACTTTCTTAAGTATTGTCTGGACTTGTCACAAAATTTAAAGTATTACTCCTGGGACACTTAGTAATGAATGGAACCATTCACTGCTTCATGCTGCCATTTGCCATAGAGACAGCATGGTCCCAGCCAGTGCAGGAGAGTCAAGGATGGGTTTTATGTTGCAATGTGCGGATGATAATATTAATGTGAACTAAGAAAAACTCTCAAAAATGCAAGCCCCAAGCTACAATGACCCTGGTGAAACCAAATACCAACAAAACTTTTCCTTTTTATTTATTAGCAGAAATTGCAGAGATGTTTTTCTATGCCTTTATTTTTTCTTTTGTCTGTGTAATAATTGTTATGTTGTTTGCATACTATTTTAACTTAAAAAGCAAAGGTATTAAAAAACCTAATCTGATTCTTTTTTATTGGTAGAATTGGAGCCCCCTAAAATAAATACATTTTCAAAGGAAATTCAGAAAGATTCCTAATTTCAAACCACTTGCTAGCTTTTTATTTACTGTATTCTTCTGGGATAGAGCCTACTTTCTCAAGTGCAATCTATATATATATAATTTTTGTTATCTCAGTTAAATGCAGCTTTCCTAGCAGTATTTTTTACTTTTTGCAGTATGTAATATGTCTTATCTTGATGAAAAAATAAATACTGCTTTTGAAATAACATACTCTGAGTGATTATTCAGAATTTGGATGAAATTATTTACCATTATTTACTTGAAGACATTTTCACAACATGACACCATACATGCTACATCTCCCTGTGAATTTTAGCAGTCATTCCCAGGAGCTGGGATAATTGAGTTTGAACCCCTGAGCTGGAAGAGCTGACTGCTTCCTTGTGAAGCAGCAGCAGCAGCATGGCATTTCTGATAGCCGGATTAGGGCACTCCCCTTGACTCAGTGCTGGTCCTGGCCCCTGTGGGCTTGGCTTGGCTCCAGCTGAGATGTCCTCAGTTGTCCTACTGAAGCTGCTCCTTACTGGAAAAGGAAGC